TGGCTGGTATCAGCAATAGTGTGGCCAGCAGGACCAGGGCAGTGATCATCCTCTGGTACTCTGCACTGGTGAAGCTGCACTTTAAATACTGGGTTTGGCTGGGTTTGGCTCACTAGAAGACAGACATGGACATGCTGGAGCAAGTCCAGAGGAGGGTAATAAAGCTGGTGACGAGTCTGGAGCACAAGTCCTATGAGGAGAGAGATGGGGATGTTTAGCCTGGAGAAAAGGAGGCTCAGGGGGGACCTTATGGCCCTCTACAACTACCCGAGAGGAGTTGTAGCCATGTGGGTGTGGGTCTCTTCTCCAAAGTAACAAGCAAAAGAAAGGAGAGAAAATGGCTTCATGATGTGGCAGGGGAAATTTAGACTGGATAGAAAGAAAAAAATTCTTCACTGAAAGAGTTATCAAACACCAGGACAGGATTCACCAATCCTGGAGGTTTTTAAAAGGCATGGATGTGACACTGGTTTAGTGGTGAAATTGTCATTCTTAAATTAACAGTAGGACTTTACCCCAAAGATCTCTTCCAACCTACAGGTTTCTATCTTTCTATGCATATGAGTTTCTTTCATAATAAAAACTAACTAGCTATCATGTTTTAATAAAATAAGAGTGAAAGCAAACACTAAATTTAAGAACTGACAAAACACAAACACATTTGGCTTTCCCACCACAGATTCCACCCACATTAGATGTCAGCCACCATTTGTGCAAACACACACCTCTCACAGGGTGCTCTGAAAAGTGTGGGGAGCATGGTATGCGTGTATGCCTGAACTGTTTACCGTCATTGGAAAATCTACTATGTCCTACTTTATATTTAGAACAAATTAGGGCAATATTTAGAACTATCACACACCTAGATTTCCTTGAATGGATTCTCTTCTTCTGTGTAGAGATTGTCTTTTGCTGAATCCCTAGAGCTTGAGATTTGTAGAGCTTTTAAGACCTTCAAGTGTTTGGACCTTATAGGTGCAGACAGAACCCCAGCTTCACTGCAGGTCCCCTCTCTCACGCCTGCGTTCTGAGTGGGGGTAAAACAACCCCAGGGATCACAAGCTTTCCTGAGTCCCTTCAGATTGGTCCTTTGGCAGACTGCATATTGCCATAAGGAACACATGGACAGTGGTACTGTTTGATTTTGTATATTTATCAGTAAAGCCTGTGGACACAGAATTAGCCACTAGCACTCTGCTTCACATCTGCTTCATGCTGGCTAACAAATTATAGGAGCCTTTTCAAACCTCCCCTTAAGGCCTACTCCTTAAAATTGCACTGAGAAACGTCTAACTGAACATGAAAGTAAAAAAGTACTCTAACTGCCCCTCACAACAGAAGATACTTAAATTGGACAATCAGTGTAAAAAGGTTGGCTTAACTTGCACACTACAAAATACAGTTTTATTTGTACCTCTGTAGCTGACATAGTTGACTCTGCTACAATGCCATCACAACTGCTCTCTTTTTACAAGCCACATTTCTCAGAGACTTCAAACTGCACCATGTAAACTGAGATGGTTTTGAGAAAGAATTGGTGATCTGAACAGTCTAGAACATTTATAATGTCATTATAATCCCTGGGTTTAGTGATGGAGGAGCTATTTTACAGCCATTTAAAATTTACGATTTCATAAAAATAATTGGCATTTCAAAAACTATTTTCTCTAACATTTTAGGCAATTTTGATCTTTCATTATTAGGGAAAATAGAAATATACTTAATATTTTGGTTCAAAACATATAGGCAACTTCTTTTTTCCTCTCCAAAGTGTATTTTCTAAAACAGGCAGGAGGTTCTGTCATGGAGATACAGCTTTGAACTGCCTGCTATACTGATCTCAGGACTGGCAAGAAGTGTTATAAATTGAGATATCTTTGCAGCTACAGAAGCCTGGTATTCACAGCAAAAGTGAAGAAGGGTCTCTTACATGATGTGGAAAAATTATTGTCAGTTTTAGAAAAATTTGAATAACACAATAAGAAAGAATTGTTCATCCTATTCACAGAAAAAGGCAAAGGCCATCTGTTAAACTGGTGCTCAGGTATGTCATTAAAGAGAGTTTCAATGTCTGTGAAGACTTGCACAAAATTCACTCTGAAAGTATGTCTAATTCTGGCACAACCTAAGTTTCAAGTAAACATATTTGTAATCTCAACTATGTCCATTTAACACTGCTCTCATGTTCTCATGTTCTCATGCGTTGTTTCCTGAGCTTCTTTAGAATGAACTCGCCTGTCAGTGTCAGCTCCTGACCATGGTCTTAGCACATCTCACCCCACCAAACACCATCCCTTCATGTCAATGCTGCCAGGCCCACATTCCTTGCTCAGGAGCCCCAGTCCCTCTTTGCAAAAAATGCCACCCCAGTAGTTAAAGAGCAGAGGAGAAGTAGGAGGGTCTAAGGATATTATTTGATTATGTGACCAGGGCTGCTGAGGCTGGCACAGCTGGCTCTGGTTCCAGTTACAGGTGTTACTGCCGGAATGACTTCTTGTGTTATGCATGGTCACTTCCCCCAGCCCAGGACCCCCAGCACAGGCTGGGAGCAGACACAGTCAAAGCAGTCACGTTCTTCCCCAGTTCAAGCAGTCGCTCTTCTCCTTTATGAAAAACCAAGGTTATTCTCCACATCAGCTCCAGCTTCAGGCCACCACTAGGTCGCTTTGACACAGTTACGCCCTTCATGTCACGACAAAGTGCTTACACTAATTCAATAAAGATTAACAAAGCATAGTATGGAGCTTTTATTTTTTCCTCCAAAATCTTTGCAAGCTTTTAAAATTAATTTGCATAACAAATATCTAGCTTCATTCACTCCCTCAGAAATCAGGACAGACATGACATTGTCATTATTATTAATTATTGTTATCAATAAGAATGCTTTCTTTTACACTAAAAATGCAAAATTATTTAAGTGAAAGCTGTAAGTTTTGTAAGATCATTATTATGATAGAATCTAGAACTGTAGAGCAATTTTTAAACTCCCATCTGAAAGGAAGAGAAGGCTCAATGTGTAGACCAGATCTACTTCTTGTCAGAGTCTGGTGCATCCCTGAGACCCAGCTGTGAAGGGAAAGGTTCCTATCCTAGAAAGGCCCTCAGCAGTTATGGATTTTTCAGGAGGGCAGCAAAGTGGCACTAAGAAGTCCAAGGGCAATCAAAGAGAGACATCAGGGCTTTAGGGTGACAGGTTAAGGAATCAGGAGTACAAGTGGACTTCTTTATACTCCCAGCTGCAGCAAATGAGGAGGGAAGAGAGGAAGAGCCAGCAGATTGATACATGACTCTGAGTCTGGCATCACCAGCAAAATTTTGTGGGTTTTTGATCCTGTTTACAGTTTACATGACACCAGGCCTGCTGATGACAAATGGGGGTCCCCTGTCTCAAAAGGGGAAAAGATTTTTCTCAGGCATTAACAGAGTTCATGGAGAGAGCATTAAACTAGGTCTGAAGGGGACTTATTACAGATAAACTGGGCAGTGCTCTTCCAGTGTCTGAGAGACATTGTGCTAGTGGGGTCTTTCATTCTGCTGTCTCCATGGAGGTAGGGGATAGAGAGCTGTACAGCAGCAGACAGAAGTGTTATTGTTGTGTTAGAAGCCATGGAAATGCTAAATTAGTGGTAATCAATAATCTTGTAGACCTTTTCCAATCTAAATGATTCTATGCTTTTATAGTCCTAAATGTATATGTTTTGTGTGATATGTGTACAAAAAATATATTGTCTATACTATCTTGTATACTGCATTTCCTACACTCAATTGCCTTAAATAAATATTTTGTTACTACTTTCCCTGTATTGATTGGTCCTATTATCCTCAAGGTTGCATCTAAGAACAAAATCATGAACACCATAAAGTTGGTATAAGATTTTTCTATCATCAGGAAGACTAAGAGTGTCAAGGCTTCAGCACAGTTGTTTCATATAAGTACATGCAACTGTCTACTTTGACCTGGTGAAACTTCCTTCCATTCTACACCATTTTGCTCCTTACTTATCAGACCATGGTTAGATATTGACATATGAAAGAGTTATTTCACTTACCCAAGTTAATTACTTGCTTCAGAACCATTTTGATAGTAATAATAATAATAATAATAATAATAATAATAATAATAATAATAATAATCTATTCACAATTCACAACAGTAGATAAACAATCAGGGGAAGTAATAAAGGTTCACTGTTATAAGAATTATAACTCAGAAAAAGCTTAAAACAACATACATGAAGGTAAGCAAACAAATAATATTAATTTGATTGAGTTTAAATTCATGGTCCCCAATACTTTCATATTTAATTATAAATTATCTTTTTATAGGCTGGGAAGCACTTTCAATCTATCTCAGTTTTCTTTCTGACATTGGAGTAACTCCAAAACTATTTCTAAAAAGCACTAAAACCAAAAATCATCATAGTACCAGAAGAAAAAAACCTCCATTGGTGTGAACCTCATCAGTCATTTTAAATTTGTCTCAAAACTTCAGTAAGTTAACTTTATACACACATTCTTTAACCTGCAGCAATAGCATGAAACTGGCATAAGGGCTGTATCATGTGCTCCAGTTAATTCAACAAAAACACGGTCATGCACCCACACTTGATCCAGATCAAATATGCACTCATTGTGTTCCAGGAGCACGCAAATCTGGTATTAAAGGACATGAAACCGTGGCCTTATATGACAGCTCAGCTTTAGATATTTTGCAGATTTCATTGATAGGTTTTTCAGCAGGTATGTTTTTTCCTTTAACTTATCCAAGTACTCATAGGAGCTGTGATGTTCTTTTCCATATAAATCATTAACTTTATATAAGTGAAACACAAAATCAAAAAAAAAAAAATCTCAATTCCCATCACAACAAAGTTGAGTCATCTGCGAAGGGCTGTAGATGTGTGGTTGCAACCAATTTAAATAGCTAAAATATATGTCCAATATAATAGAAATGAAATCAAATTTGTATAGTGAAATAATAAAAAAATTAGAAATCTTACCTTTTTCACTAACACTTTCACTTTCAATCTCTACATCATCACAACTTGTATATTCTGGAGTGGATGCCAGTTCTTCTTCTGAGCTGCTTAATGAAACCTGGCGCATTTTACCTCCTTTTTTTGTTTTATGGGGCTTTGGTGGTGGAGGTCTGACAGATTCAGACTGGTCCGAGCTGAGTGAATCATTCCGTAACATGGTCTCCATCTTTTCACGTTTTGTTTTCCGGACAGCAGAACTGGGATCCAAATGGTGCTGTTTCCTTAAAGAATCAGAGCGCCTCATGTCTGGTCTTTCCAGAGGAATTGGACTCCTCCTAGGTGTAGGAGGGCTATGATTTGTGGTCCTCTGACGATTGGGACTTGGTCCCTGAGCCTCTCGAGTTCTTTCCATAGAGTATGAACGTTGATTTTCCATGGCAGCCCTGCGCTCAGATACTGATCTTTGTCTTGATGGCCGTTCCATCCTGAGCATGGACATCCGAGAATCTTCCAACTCTGTATTTGCCAGAGAGACATCGCTATGCCTGCGTTCATGCCGTGCACGGGACACTTCAGCGTGGATACGCATTTGCTCCTCATACGGCTGCGGCTTGACTGGATAACGAGCCAAATTAGGATCACTCCGGTATCGTGCCTGGTATTCCTCTTCCCTCCTTTGCCTTTCATATTCTTCCCTGCTTTGTGCATCTTCTTCTTCTACCGGGTACTCCTTGGAACGCCTGCGGCTCCTTCTGTTGGAATCTCTATAATCACCCAGTTCAGGTTCTTCATATAACTGGGGCCCACGCTGTGCCCGCCTATCTGAATAATCTGATGGTGACCTGGGCATTGCACTGTCTGATGTAGCATACTGTGAATATTCGTCTCTCTCGTCCCTTTGGTCGTATCTTCTGCTCTGTTCTCTTGATATTGAAGGGCTTCTTTTCCTAAATAATCACGGCAAGAAAGCAGAAAGATAAATCTGTCAATATTTTATGTAGCACAAATATACAGTTAATGTTAGTTAAAAGATAAAGTGACCAGCTGATGGAAAAAAAATCCTCTCATTGCATTTTTTGTGAATGTGCTGTCACATTTTTTGTACTAAATTAAAGAAAGGATATCATGCTATAAATCTGTCTATGGTGCACATTTTTAATAAAAAACAGCTTTGAAGGAAAAATGCTAATATGACTTCATAAAATATAGAAAACAAATACTTAGGCTACTTTGCAGTCATGACTGCTTTACAAGTACCAAAATTTTACAATCCTTTGTAATCATTTTATAGCAACATAACTTGACCATATACTTCTGTTTCATAGGATTTTATAATCACCATGGAAATTAGGGCTAGAAGGATCATTCAGTTAGTTTACTCTTTTGGTAGCTGTTATTGCTCAAAACCACACATTTCAGCTCCCACAAAACTATAATTTGTACCAAGGGCAGAAAACAGACAAAGATTCAATGGCAGCACTTTTCTAAATCAGATGACAGCAGACATCCTGAACTCAGAAAACAAACCACTTTTTTGTGCTGTGAAGTGAAAGAGTTTCAAAGAGCCTCCTGAGTTGAGAAACAATCCTTCCCATCCTATAGGGATGGTAGCAGTATTAGTCCAAGCATTTGAGCAAGACAAATATCAGAACGGACTTCCTGTGCCATATAAAGCATTGACTCACTGATGTAATTTTACACCATCTAGCTATAGGCAGCTACTGAGGCTTCAGAGTCCTCATACGTATGTATTTCCTGACACTGACAAATTAAGCATATGATTAATTTATATGTAATATTTTCATAAAGGGTGTGTCTGGAACATATAATGAATATTTTGGTTTTTCTTTGACACAACATTGTTTGCTACATAATCAGAAGAGATCAGTTAAATAGGAAAAAAAAATGGATCTTCAAATCTTGCAGTTATCAATCCTTATAGGGTAATAAGCATGCAAAATGTTAGTTTCCTGATTCATGCTTGGCTTTCCACCCTACATGGATCTGCAGAAGTTACCTGCAGAAAACTGGAGCAGAGATTCTAGATATAAGAGACTGAGAGGTGGGCTTCTCTGGGATAATGTAGATCAACTCAAACTTTAAGTAATAAAACTACAAATGAGAAGCTATTTCTGTGTTGTTAGTCCTTTCTTCTTATAATTAGTTCTACCTTTATAATTAAGATCCCTTTTAAAATGGGATTTATGGAGAGACCTTTAAAGTAGGTCTGAAGGGGAAAGGCATGAACTCCCAAAATGACCACTGGTTCTGAAGGGCAGCCTTGCAGGCAGCAGCCAGGAGATCCTGCCTAGTGCTTAGAAGGACAGGAAAAAAGGCGAGGAAATACAAAGCCCTCGTTTTGTCACAGCTGTCCTAGAAGAATAAAGAAAACACTTCAACTTAGTGAAGGGGAGAAGGAGAAAGAGGTTCTCCTTGGTGCCCAGGAAAGTATAAAGAGCTCTGTCTATCTGATAGGAGAGAAAACATTCTTTTCACAGCCAGGAAGGAAATGCAGTCCCTGCTCAACAAGAAAAAACAGCAGCTGTCAGTGCAGAGTATGCATGGCCTGTGGGGTGACTGGCAAACTGGCATCCTGTACTGTTTTAGGGTCCATACAGAATTATTAAACTGTGCTTGAAAGATTTGGACACAGCATTGCCTTGTAAATAGTAAAGTACGTTACCTTTGCAATGACATCTACAAATGAGAAAACTAATTCAATCTTGAAAAAATTAAACTCTTCGTGTGAAGTATGGCAAGTTCTATAAGCATCATGCAGATGCCTATTTGCTGATGGTGAAGCAACAATGTCCTGTCTGTCTTGTTACACTGGCGTGTTAGTACCAGCACAAATTATAACCTCTGAAAGTTTTAAAAAATCTCTACAGATTCTGCTACTGGGGACTCAAATTGAATCACTCTAATGTAACATGAACAGAGTTTCAGAAGGGTAAAACCAGAATGGACAACAGGAAGGGACAGTTAGAACAGACTAACACAAATCCAAACTAAGTTTGCAAGGACATAGAAGTTTCATTAAGACAACAGAGATTATATGCGGAAATGCTTTAAGGAAGATAAATATTTTTCACTTAAATTCTTCAGATGATGAAAAATTATGCCACATCCCAAAATAAGTTGTTCCAATAGCAAATTACCCAATCCCTGAAAATTTCTGTCATAGCTATAGCAAAAATGTGCATAACTTCCTCTCCTTAGCTGTGTCTCACACATAGGAAAAATCTGCATTCATCAGATACAGGCATTCATTCATGTGAATCTCATTGCAAGATCGAGACAAATACGTGTAGACATGAAATGTACACATATTACACTGTTAATACTCACACTGTGTATACTCAGTCAATATAACCTGTAGATCACATAGGTGATCTGAGCCACATTTTTTTACATCAATGTGATCCTCCAAAGCATTAAAACACTCTAGAACATATGGTGTGTAGGATCAGCTCCATGATGAACAGTGTAACACACAAAGCCATTCAGCCTCTAGTTTAACATATCTCACATGTGACTTGGAGCAGTCTGAGTGTACACATGCTTCAGTATTAAACATCTACATACTTGTATCTACAGCAATACAAACAACACAACAGTAAGAATTGGTTTAGCTACAAATAGAAGATTATATAACCATACACAAAACATGTGTGTGTATATATACATATAAATAAATATATCACTCCGTGTCGCTGAGTCCTCATACGTATGCAGTCCTCTTCTGATGATATTATGGATAAAATGTCATGGGGGAAAGGTTGAGGGGTATAAAAGAGATGGATTTCTGTACAAGTAAAAACATTATTGTATACTTGTTGCTGAGGAAAATGTATTTCTATTAAGGAAATACATCATCAGATCAACTGGCATATGACTTACTAAAACATTTTTTCTAGCATTAACTATGTTAATGAGAGGAAAATGTGTTGATTTAGCATTATATTCTTATACCAGTTGCACAAACATTCTCTAACATCGTGTGCTACATTTACTACAGTCATTTTCCTTCCTCCATTTAAGATATAATAGGAAACTATCTATGTCTGACAGCAATGTGAAGAGCAGCTGGGTCCTTAATCTACTCTAACCTTTCATGAAGGAAAAAGGTTTGCATGACTGCCCTGAGTGTGGCAATTACTAGGGCACATGCAAGAAAAAGGACCTACCTGCAAATATAGTGCTTTTCTTCAGAGAAAGCAGCCTAACAGAAAAAAGTAACTAATTTAATTCATGGTCTATGTTGACTGACATTATCGAACCTCCTTTCTAATTAATTTCATTCCTCTTGAAGTCAGCTTACTTCACTACTGAAGTTACTGAAATAGTCAGAAGCTGTAGTCCTGTCCATCAGAAATAAATTTACTGTACCTGTACACCTGATCAGCCAGAAACCTTCTGTCAGGAGGTTCATCCTGTCCTACAGTCACCAGACCCTTAGTAGTAAAGTCTGTCATTCTCTACAGGCCATCACAGCACAATTAATGTCCCTTTAATATTCAACTATTTCTTGATTTTAAAAATACTGCTATATACAGAGTTGTGCAATGAATGCTATAGATTTTAAGTCAGAGTTATGAAATCAGTGTAGGAGGCAACTAGTACTGTTGAAAACTTATGGCCTGTCCCTACTATTAAAAATCTGCTGCTATTTTTAGATCACTAGCTAATTCTCACTCACCTTCATGAGCATCTGTCTAATCCATTTCTCACCATTAACTAACTTAACAATACCTTAATAAAACTCTCATCAAGTACCTCCAGCTGGATACACCATGGAAAATGACTACTCCTACCTTTCCAGGACTTCCCTGGAACTTTAGAAACTAAGTGAACTTTAAGGATGTGATATGCACCCTCTAGTTGCCAGCTGAACTAAGCACTATATATCTCTTGTCAGAAGGATTACCAGATTTTCTGAAGAGGTTATCACACCTTTTCTGAAAAATCCTCCATGGCATTGTTATTGCTGCTTGTTTGAAACAACCATAAAATAAAATCTCAATTACGGTTAAAAAACTCTGCAAAAATCTCTGTCAGGCACATTCCATAAATGTTTTTTTTCAGATACAGAATATGAAATTTATTTTTTCCTACTAATTACTGTATATTTATTTTTATTGTAATTTATTAATGCATGACATTTGGTCTTTTAATACACAACCCATAGCCCTACACTGATGGAAACCTTAATTGCAGTGCACTACAGATATCACTAGTATTATGGAAAAGCAAATAGCTTGACTGTAATCTGTACTCCTGCTCATAAAGTTAAATTATTCAACTCCTCCACATCACAATAGAATTAAGTGCTTAAAATATAACATAGAAGAATATGAGACAGCTATTCAGCTTTGATGGCTGCGATTTCCATAATGGAACTAAATGTCTTTAAACTCTTTGACATTCACTTGTATTCTGTCTTAAAGAGAAAACACTCTTCTGCTTTGATTTAGGTTTTTAGAAAATTGACCCAAATGTACTGTAGAAAAGGATATTTTAAAAATTAAGCGTCCATCACATTTCAGAAGGCAGAGACATTAAAAAACATTGTAATATGTAAAGTATTTATATGACTGTCAAAATTAGATATCAGACCCTCCTGCTGACAATCTTTTTCTCAGACTAACAGAATACAAATTTGAACTGGGGAAAACATTCATGAAAATATAATTCTAAATTTGTGTTTGTCTATCTGAAGCAAGATGCATTTACTTGAAGAGGATTATTTATCAGAAGCTTTGGGTCAATTAAAAAATGATAATTTGGGTCAATTAAATAATAGTTTCAGTGGGCCTGAGCCATCAGCTACTTGAAAATGAATGTTGGCCATCTACTTGTAAGACCTAATTATACTTTACTAGATAATACTTTCAAACTTTTGTTCTCTCTTTCCTGTAAATTATCAAGGAATAAAGTTGAATAGAAA